CAATCAAGTTATTTAGTTCTCTTTCCTTAGTATCCACAATATCCTGGGACATTTCTTGATCCATGGTTAACAGTACAGCATTTTTCTGGATAACGTAGTTCCTTCCAATTGTCAATATAATTCCAATTAACACATTTTGGTTCTTCATCCCCCACCACATAAACATTCACCCATTCTTAATATTTTCCATTTTGTTTAGGTCGTGCTGCATAATAATTGGACTTGCCTCCATACACCTTCATTCCTCATCTTGTATGTGATAAAAGAATTTCTTTTTGATTTTATGCTATTACTTATATCCAGAATTGAGTTTTTGCATCAACCATCAGACATATCTTCTTTCTGGGAGTCAGTTTCATCTGGCATAGAATATTCATGAGTATCATCCTTCTCATCTACATCAATAATATTCATAGATAGTTCTTCTTCTCTTGTCTTATATTCTGATTTCTTTTTGGCCTGGTACATATTATTTCAATCTTTTACTTTCATTAATTGACATGGATGAACACAATAGTAAGCTCCTCCATGGCGTACCAACACATTTTATCCCTTCTTTCACAAGCACAACTGCAGGACCTTTCCAACTTTTAAATTTTTTTTCAGTGATGATAAACTATCACCATTATTGTTGTGTCGGAAACCTACCACCCCTCTTGAAGATGAACTTGTCTGCGTCTGTGAACAAAGACTTTAAATAGTGGCATGTCAGTTGACATGGGGAAGACAGATAGACAGAGAAGTTCTTAGCTGAGCTAGTTATTGACTACTCAGGTGATTTCTGTACCTTTTTACCAACCTATTAAAACCCTTTTTATTGTTACATGTTATTTGGCATTTGTCTCTACTAACCCCAAATCAACATCATAACAATTATCATACACCACGTCTGAATAACATTCTCCTGATCTTTTCACTTGACTCCGTTGTAATATAGTTTTGTCTAGCACTGTGTAAAGCTTCCACGTTCTGACATTTAATATCACTAGAGGAACACTCCATAGCTGGAACGTCATACTTTAATATTGATGGAAGGTTAGAGTTAACTGCAAATACTAATTGGTTTGGACTAAAACCACCATTATTTTGTAATGTGTTCTTGGCACTTAGTGCAATTTTTGGTTCATATCTGCAATAGTCTTGTAAAATGCCTTTGCCAATTTATGATTATGCCATTCCACAATCCTGTTGTTAAATAGTGCTTCACCTGCTGTTGTTGCAGTTTCTATATTTAGTTTCTCATTCATTCCTTGTATTTTTCATTTGAAAATTCCCCTTCATTATTACTCATGAATTTTCTAGGAGCATCAAAATAAGCTATTCACATTTGGTAGATATTTTGCACAATTTCATCTTGCTGTTTAGAAATTGGAGGTATTGGAGAGCCAAGTTCAAATTCCAGTCAAATCCATTACATTCATTTACGTGCTAATAACCTTGTGAAATGTACGAATCCTTTTCTTCTCCCACTCCCCAGCTATGGGTAAATATCAGGACAGACTGGGTTCTATAGCCTTGGATGACAACTGGTCTACCGCAGAAAGAAATGGCAACCTACTGTGGGAAAAATCTGCCTTGTCAGTCATGTATCGAAAGATGCATAATCGTCTAAGTGTGTATCACACATGGCACATAACTGACTGACTGTTATAGTGAAACATACCTATTCTATAGTTAATAGACTCTCCCACCTATAATAAGTAGGAGGTACCAGCCACCACAACTAGATTACTGCGTCATTACCTATTATATCAAGTTCCTAACGTTTTGTACGTCGAACCTATTTTAGGACTGACTTAGTGCAAATACAAGCCTCCACTGTGAAACCACTACATAACACTGACTGACCATTTAGAAAACACTAAACCAGTTGCAGAATATTTTGTGGCAGACTTAATTATATGCAAAATCCAAGTTTTATTGTGTTTATGTTCCTTTAAGTCCATAAACATAACTTGGTTAAATTTATTAGCCATGGGCAAAGCTACAACTTGACATAAAGGTACACATTTGTGATTCATGCATACTTTGCATGAATCACAATGTTTTTCAATTATCTTAAGGAATTCAGAATCATTAAAATCATTACTCCCCTTCACAAGTTTACACAACTTTTCTTTAGAGGCATGTGAAAATTGTCTGTGTAGCTTCATTGCTTTTATTCTTTTCTTTTTCAGTGTTACCATTTTTACAGAAGTGGTGCGCAATACCACTGACACTTTCAATTCACCCTGTTTGTCAAATAACAAATTTGTAAGTGGAATACAGTAGTGGCCTGATGAGATACAAGCTGAATCTAATGTATCACCCAGAACCTTTGCTGTATCATTCACAAATATAATTCCAGCTTTCTTCATAGAGGCTTTACTCAAACACAATGGAATTTAATTATTCACTACACAGGACTCAATCATAACCCTTTTTCTGCCAATAACTCTTGCATGTTTCTTGTATTTTCTTGATGATGTTTACAATCTCTTGAGAAGTGTGTTTTAGAGTTGCAATTAAAGCATCTCATAATTTTTTCCATCCTTGCCAATTAGCTTCATAAATTCTACTGGGAAATTTTTGACCAACTCTATAATTTACTCATCCATGCCAACCTTTTGTTTGAAATGTTTTCTTGGTTTTGGTTACAAGAACTGATTCAGATTTGACACATGGTGCTTCTATCTGGCCTTAAGTTGTGGCAGGATCCCAAAAAGTCTTTTTTCTTGTGCATTTCATATTTTCATAAGTCATAGATGCCCATGTAACACAAGTTAGTCTATCATTGTCAGACACATTTACTGCAGTCAATAGAAAAAAAAAAAAAGAAAGGACATACACCCACTGGTAATTCAACTCTAAAATTACCCAGTTTGTGATACATTTATTCAAATTGAATCAAAAAGTCTATTATATTTATGCTGGAAGGTTGCCTGCAATCATAATATTCCTTAAAGGCTAAATAAACCTGGGTATTTTCATCTTTTAAAAACAATGTGTGCAGTTTGTCTATTATTATCTTGACTCCGTTTTCCTGACCAATTTCCCAAGTCCTTAACACAATCTTTTGCCCATCCAGTCAAACTGAGAAAAACTGTCAGACCTTGTTTACATTTATTTAAGTCCGTGTACATCAGCCATATTGTTAAATTGTTTTTCCATTCAACATAATTCTCTTCAGTCGTCAACAGTGGTGGCAATTTTAAAGCCTTTTCAGTTGTCATTTTGAGATACAGTATAAGTGGCAATGTGTACAACACAAAAGAATATAAAATATCCCACAAAATTACTGGGTCTCAGACTGCTACCATTTGTTAACGTGCTTAGACGATAAACATTGAACAACCTAAGCACTTGTCCTCACTGAAGAGTTCCTTTTATAGAAATAGTTCAAGGGAGATAACTGATAATCCACATTGTATCTCCCTTCATTTAGTACACTTTTTTCTTTTCTTTTTTTTTTTTTTCAAATTTGAGATGTAGCAAGTACTTCTAAGAATTTAAGTGTAGAACGACCTCTTTTTGTCAAGGAATCTGCCAATTGTAAATTCCCATCCACCCAAAACATCTTTATTCCCCCTCTCTGACATCAATCATGCCACATCCATTTTTAATCTTCTGTCAAGGCAAGAGAGCATAGTCTATCTTGTTATTTAAGCCATATCTGCAGGGAGAAGAGATGTATTCATGCCTTTCACAAAGATATTTTTGCCAAAGTGAACATAATGAACTTGTTCAGAATTTGAACTTGGCTCATTAACCATTACACTACCCACACATCCACAACTCAATCAGTAATCAAAAGGAAAGTTTATGAATTAAAATAACCTGTGCTGTTTTCACCTGTTGAAATTGAAGTTATTCTCAGAGTGATCAACAATTAAATTTACTAGGAAGCATCAATCTAATGTGTAGTTATTTGATAGTTATTGTTCTGATGACCTTTCTTCTTTCATAACTTGTATTCACAAAGTTAAGCACAGTACTAGATTGGTAGCTAAGTCTCATAATTTCACTGATAAAATTGCTACTTGTAACTGTAAGTTGTATGCTAATATCTTCTCACTTGTGAAACTCTCTTCTGGCTTCATGTTTTCCTGTCAACTACAATCTTCAAAAATTTAAATGCAACGTCAGTCATCATCTTCTGTCTCTTTGAATCCTGTTCTTTCGTTATCATCTGTTTCTTTCACTCTTGTAACCTTTTGCATCCTAGTGGATTTTATTGCCTTGCTTGGGGTGAAATGATTAAAAAAACATTTCTCAAAATACCAAAAACCGCAAATCATCATCTTAAATAAAATGCAATGTCAATCATTATCTACAGTTTTCTTGATTACTCTTCTTTTACTGTTCTCACTCCTTAATAATATTTCTCTTTTTTCTTATTCTTTCATACTCTGTAACTCCTTGTATCTTAGTGGCTTTAGTGCCTTGCTTGGGGTGAAATGATTAAAAAAATATATAAAAAAGCCTTTTTGTAACACGGCATTTTAAAAAAAAATTACTGTTCCTTATTTCAAAGGAATATATTAAATGTATGCAAAAGTTTCTAGCAAAACATGATTTTCAACTGTATATTTAGTTTCTATTTAAAACAAAAAGACTGCTGTGGAGTTTTGCACACACCCAATAAATTACTATAAGATAACTTTGGAATAATTAAATTGGCTGTTTTCTATTTATATACATTTGTAAAATAACTTTCAAAAATGGAAAAAAAAATAGAAAAGAAAAAGTAAAGAGAAGTTATGGTAGGCACTAGCATATTTTGGGAGATCATGCACTTCAAATTTTAGCTCTTTGAGCTTGCTGGATTTGGTAGATGCCAAAAAGATACTTGACAGCTGGAAACACTGCCATATCAATAGTTGCACATTGTGCAGTTTTGGGCCCTTCATGACCAACCCAACGTGACCAAAGAAGACTGTAACAGAACACATGCAAAAGTGCACGTACAAAGTGCTTCACTGGTAGATAAAAGAGAAAGTGATGTTTCACTGAGTACATACTTAGAGAAGCAAGGAGGAGCACAGCACCAACAGAAGCAGCATTTTTTTGCCAGTCCTCTGTCTCTCGTATGGGCTGGTGAGGAAGGCTGACTAGATCCTCCTTCTGGTTGTTGATTCTGTTGGCCCTGCTGCTGCTGCTGCTGCTGAGCTGCCTGGTTGTCCTTAGACTCTTTGCTCTCCTTGTTATCTTTGCCTGGACGATTGCTCCTCATCCGGATATCATTCTCGTTAGTAGCCGGAGACTGGTTACGCAACATGCTTGTCATCTAAACAAGAGAGAATCAAAAGAAAATGAGATTGCAAGCAAACAATGAAAAACAGAAAAATAAATACAGTAGAAACAGTTTTAACTGTTAGTTTTTCAGTCTTGTTTTAGATAAGGAACATATTTCTCTGCATCTTGTATGTAAAAATAAATGCCTTTTCTAAACACATAAATAACTTTGATATATAAAAAAAAAAGTGTTATTACCATAGAGACAAGCAAACAAATTGTACACTTTCAGAGAAGAAACTGGTTATTTTCAGGCAACTTAGAAAAATAACTCCCCATAAAATTTCCATCTGTACATAAATTGTGATTATAATGGTCAGTTACTACTTGTTTTCTGAGCACACTTGTCTGCCAGGGTAGCTAGCTAAACCCTATTACAGATGCCTGCTCTGCTGTTTATACTCCAACTATGCTGAGCAGATCTTAGTTACAGTTTCTGGGAGAGAGTGTATAATTTGACATGACCAATTTTTTGAACAAGGCCAATATGCCCAAGTCCACAATATGTGAGCACAAACATTGACAGCTTCTAAACAATTTCATCTACCCAATTTCATTCACAAGACTTGGGTTTATTTTTCATGCACTTTCCAACCAAGTCCAATCACAACAGAAAGTCACTTCCCTGATGAATTGTCCATGGTAAGATTCTAACCCAGATTATATGGTTAGAAATTGAACATTTTAACCATTTAGTCACATGCCCATAATGGTGATTAATATATAACAATGATATAAGGATATATAATTTTATATATCAACAAACAGTATTTAGAAAAATATGACAATCTAGAAAGGTATTTTTGTGACGCATTTCATCCATTAGGATTTCATCAGTCTGATGAAATTTTAACAGATGAAATGCATCACAAAAAAAAAAAAAAAGACCTTTCCAGTTTGTCATTAAGGACATTTCCCTGTATGACTTAATTTTGGTTTTAATAACTAATTTTGTTATAATTTAAAACAAATCTTTTTCCATTGTTTTTTTAAACGTTTTTAGGCATATTTTTTGAAATAATCCTCAATTTGTTGATCAGCCCATATAATGTACAAAATAATTGAACAGAATGTAAACCTTTAGCTCTGGGATATGTAAAAGCGATATTAAAAAATGACCCACCACTTAGACACCAACACTTCAAAAGTGGGATGAAATTTAACCAATAAATTGTAAACTGTTGCATGCATTTAATCTCCGTGGCATAATGTTTGACCTAATTTTAATGAAATTTGGGTAGGTGATAATTTTGGTGACCTAGCAGCATACAGACATCATAAACTAAAAATTATGGCAATGTTTAACATTGTTGATGTCTGAAAAACAAAAAAAAGAAAAATACAAAAAAAAGAAAAAGAAAAAAAAAGACCCCCCCCGCAAAAAAAAACAGTGTATCAAAAGATGGTTATTCCCTTTATTTATCTATATATCATCTATATTTGTATTTCTCATATTTATAAATATTTGCAGAAAAGATAGAGGGAAGTCACATCACAGCGGTGTGACAGTGACTGAAGTCAAGGTGCCAGGCGAAGATCGATTACATTACTGACCCTTTATGAATTTTATCAAGAATCTCAAGATATATGGTAAATAGTAAATAATAATAAATAATGTACTGTAGTTGGTTTACATATTTTGATAATTTTTTTTTTTTTATAAATTTTTGAATAAAAAGATTTTTCAATTTTCTTTATATGGTAAATAATAAATATTGCATTGTACCAGGTTCATATATTTTTATAATCTTGTAAATAGACATTGTCAAAGGAGTCAAAAGTGTATACAGTAATAGCAGTGTCAAGTGAATAACCATCCTTTTGACACACCACTTTCTTTGTGTGTACAAAGGTTAAACATTGCCAAAAGTACATAGAAACAGAAGAAAAAAAAAGTTTGTTCAGAGGATAGTACATTGTGACAAAATTCTCAAACTTTTTGATGGTAGAAAACAATATAAAAATACTCTTGAAATGTGATTTTGACTATGATTTCATTCTTTGCAATGTTTTTATTGTTAGTATGATGTTTCAGACAATTCATTCTACAGGCTTCTTCAGGAATTAATTACCTAAAACTTTGTGGTAACAACAAAAGTGATACAAAAGATTTCAATAGTCAGAATGACTCTTGGAATTGTACACAAAAAGATTGCAAATTAAGGGTCTATGATATTTTAGTAGTCCATAAAGCAATTTCACACTGAAACAATTGTTATAACTGAGAACTGAAATTTCTTCAGTAATCTTCGCCATATTAAAAATACTAAAAATAGAAAAAAACACTAAAACTAACAGAAAACAAGATCAAGTGATGTAAGTTAGTATCCTTTTTACTTTATTGAATGTTTTGATGGTAAAAATTGAATAAAAATTGAGAAGGATATAGTGTATATAAATGTTCCATAGAATTTAGTTAAATACAAGTTTATGTTCATTAGTATTACTTCAAAATAAAGAATACAGATTTACTATTTCTATAACACAATTTCTAAACTTATCTATTAGTAAAAAATAAAATAAGCTTTCTCTTCATTGAATGGTTATGTGATCCACAAAAAAAATATTAAGAGTAAAAGTGGTCCATAGGTAAAAAAGGTTGAGAACCACTTTTATAGACAATATAAAAGTACCCAGATTAAAATCTTTGTTGGTATTGAGAATTAAGATTTAAAAAAACTATGGGAATTATGTTAAAAATGAAGGTATATCCAACATTGTGCAGACACTTATTGCTGTTTATTTTTTATATATTTAATGTTATGTTAAATCTAAGTAAGAACACTGAAGGAAATGACATATGTGGCCTGTCATGGATGTGCATAATTTTAAGCTAGGACAGATTTGAACACTATGCTGATTTCTTTATTGATATAAAAGACAATATGAATTTATATATTTATTGGTCATTCAATCTGATTTCCCCAATTTGCAATAAGATATTCCATTTTCATGGTAACATGGGTACCACTCAAAGTTACCATAACAAGATCAGGTTGTTAGTACATTGTATTATATATTTTATCATTAAATTTCTTTGGATATTTTTACTTTTAAACTGTAACATAACACATGACAATAGTTAATTGTATAGATAAAAACACTAGGTTACCCATGCAAAAAATATAAAATACAACTCTCAATAAGAACTGGTAAGGATTCTGAACAACTGTATTATTTTTCAAACAGAATATTTGTTTATTATGTATTTAAAAAAATAAAAATGAATAAAAAAGAAAAATTACCAATATATATATATGTGTGTGTGTGTGAGTATTTAGCACTTGATAATTGTGTAACTGAATGAAACTCCGAGTTGTGCTATTGACGTGGGATATTATGTGTATCCACTGATATATACTTAATAGCTCTGTTATACAAGATTGAGCACCATTTTTATAACACATGAGTAAAAATAATATATATGTGTGTATATATATATATATGTTTTTTTACCATATATATATATATATATATATATATATATATATATATATATATATTATAAGCAATATATAATTTTTATATATCAAGAACAATTTTAGTGGAAAAAGTTTTTGTGTCACGTGTTTCATTCTTTAGGATATAATTGGATTAAAGTGATGTTTATTAGTTGCTCATGATGATGATTTTTTTTCATTAAAAAAAAATGCTTTTCTAATTAAAAGATGAAAATGTATAGAAAGTGCTTTAATCACTAGATCATCCATAATACATTTATAACAATTTTTCCCTTTTCTTGATAGAACTATTATCCTAACATAGAATATTTAATAATAAAAGTCAAAGAAAAAGAAACAAAATGAAATTGGCTAAACACATTAAAAAAAAAATTCCTCTCCTTCATGTCCATGTGTAGTTGCATCAACATAGACATCACTTTAGTTTAATGAAGTCCTAAAAGATGAAAAGCATCACATTTTTTTCTATTTTCTCATAGATTTCTCTTTATATATATATATATATATATATACACACACACACACACACACACACACGTACATACAGATATACATCGTTAATTGGTTCCAGATGTTATGATAATATAACCACTTCCCATTGCCTGTTACAGTATTTATGGTATGTACGTACAGTATTCAGAATAAAATAATTAATTTCCACCTTAACTGAAAGCAATATAGCGATATCATGCTTAGCATTAGCACTGGGACTTTTCTTCAGAGCCATGGGCAAAAATGTATTCTAAATCACAACATAAACGTAACTGAAAGAACATCAACGACAGAGCACAGATGTAAACAAGTCTGAATTCAAAATTGGTGTTAAAGCAGAAAACAATGCATGAGTGCCACCCGTCGGCAGAAATTTGAAATAAGAACATCTGTTAAACATACTTTATTATGCTACTTATTTTTGTGTTTGATGATATATATATATATGAGTATACAAAATATTATTAAATTTATTTAAATATGATTTTATATGTTTGTTATTTTAGTGTTTTTACATTTCTAATATTTTTAATGGCTGATGTAAACTTGAGTAAAACAACCTAAGGCAAGATATATTTTTCCATATAATATTTAAGAAAAACTGAATTATTTTCAAAAATGACAACTTGGAATGACTTAAGCTGAGATGAGATGTGTGTATATATATATATATATATATATATATATATATATATTATACCATCTGCACATCCAAGCGTACATCACATGGTATTACCAAGTGGCCATCCATCTAGGTATTGACCAAGCTTGATGGTGCTTAACTTCTGTGATCATATGAGATCCGGTGTTTCTTATGATATGGTGTAACCCTATATATATTTGTAAATATTTTTAGATTCTTTTCTTAAACAAAACATCTCATAAAAATACAAATATTTTTTTTCAAGGGCAATAACTCTGTCTATATTTCTGAGATGAGGTAGTATGTACCCACACATCCACAACTCTTTACAGTAATCAAAAGGAAAGTTTATGAATTAAAATAACCTGTGCTGGTTTCACCTGTTGAAATTTAAATTATTTCCAGAGTGATCAACAATTAGATTTTTGAAGATTGTAGTTCTGAGATGAGGTATTATGTACACTATTTCCATTATTCGGACCATATTCCGAATAATGTAAATAGTGGTCAATAACTCGTTGTTAGATCTTCAACAAATGACAAAAGAAAATAGTAGGTATACTAATCATAATACTGATGGTTATTATGATAGTACTTTCAAAACCCATTAGTCAGAATTCTTCCTCTTCTATGTGTCATATCACATCAGGACAAGGATGATCATGGCTTTCCATAATTTCCTGTCCTTTGTAGCTCTTAGTAAATTTTGTCTACTTCACTATCTCTCCCAGTCCCTGGAAAATCAACCATTAACACAAGCATATTAAATAGGTTATGCACTGTTTTCCTCTGTCCCTCTGGTTTTCAATATTTCATCATCATTTTCATATTTTCTAAGCCCTCTTTCCTCATTATGTGCCCTAGAAATTTCAACTGTCTCTTTCTGATGAACACCTTTAAAACTAAACTTCTCTCCATTAATCATCTGTGAAACCCTTCTCTGCCTTTTATCAGCATGGATGATGCTAACCTCTAGGAAAGTGACTCATTGCACCTTCTCAGGATAATGTTCTCAGTGGAAAGACTATAATTTTGTAATATCTGTCTGAATTTCTGGAATGAGAAGTTATCATTATTTATATTCAAACTAATGTCATCATCTTTGTTGTTAATATCAGCTGATCACATTCTGTATGAATTTCTGGGATGAGAAGTTATCATTATTTACATTTAGACTAATATCTTCATCTTTTGTTTTAATATCACCCGATCACCTTCTGTTTGAATTTCTGGGATGAGAAGTTATCATTATTTACATTTTATTTGGCTGTCCTTCACCAAAAGCTTGTTGATCTTGGTAACTATAAGGGAATTTTGAACTGACCTTTTAAGCTTTTCAAAATTTTGCTTTTTAAAAATAACATTTGGGCGGGGAAAAAATTGAATTTTGTGACAAATTAAATTTTCTATACCAAAGTATGCTGAAATATTCTTGGACTGACCAACTTCTCAAAATCAGTATATCGATGTTTGGTCACTGAAATATCGATGTTTGGTCACTGAAATACTGATTTTGGAACATGGGTTGAACTGAGAACTTTTCAGTACCACCTCATATATGTACACATGTAGGTGTCTAAATTTGTTTTAATGTGTTTGGGATCCATGCTTTTTTCAATGAGACAAAAGGACCAAAGTGCCAAGCAACAGACACTAAAGCATCAGGGACAAAATTTTGATATCTAAATATATGAAAGGATAGTTGCTACGTCGACTTCAATATATATAAGTGGTTAACTGATAGGGAATATGTTGGATAGATAAATGCATGTTAAAAAAAATTAAGATTTTTTTTTTGTTTTGAGAATGTCAGATATTGAATACAAATCATTGGCAAAAATATTTATATCAGTCAGCTAATATCTGTGACCAATTCCTCAAATTTTCCATCCTAAAATCAATATTCAAGAACTCAACCTACTCATCAAACATCTTACATTTTATGAATTGATTCCTGTCTAATGTAGAACTAAATCTAAAAGGACTGTGTTAAGAGCAATTTTTTATATTTGCTCAATAAAAATATTTGGCATCCAGTAACCAAAAACAATTTGTTCTGCTTTTGTTCTTATAGGAAGAGAAGTTTTTTTTTCTGGTCTGGGATGACAGAAAGATGAGGTTGTCTGAAAAATGGTAGAAGAGTGTGGAACAAATATTTTCAAGAAAGTTAATGTAAAAAAAAAATGTCTTATTTTGAGTTAATAAATAGAGCAAACATCAGTGTGTCTTGACTCTAGTCTAGTAAGATGCTGTGTCATATATATATATATATATATATTTAATAGATGGAATGAACGCCAGTGTGTCTTGACTAGAATATACTCCAGTCTTATAAGCTGCTGTGTCACATAGCATCAATAGTCTTAAACAAAACAGTATTTACTGAAAGAGAAAGTTAATTTCATTGGAAGACTGCAAAAGGTGCAGAGAACTTTTTTTCTTTTTGTCAAGCAAGATGAAAAATTGTGGGAGAATAGAATGGAATTCTCTGAAAGATAACAGTAGAACAAAATTTTAAATATCATTTTCAAATAAATATAATGTCAAAAATATAAAAAAAGTGACATTTTTACTTTCATGAAATTTTCTAATAACCCAATGATCTTGAAAATCATTGTGGTTTCATGACATCTCCAGAGCAAAAAGGTTTACTTGATGGTGTCTACCTTCTCTACAATAATTATAGAATAATGAATTGCGCAATCCCAAGGAAAGGAAAATTGCAGAATCTATAATATGATGACACTCTTCTGTCAACCATTGCAATATGTTTTTAGTGAAATATTGGTCCAGATATCTTGGCATTTGGAAAGAGAACAAGAAAGGGGATTCATGTCTTTCACATGGGCACCAGTTCAAAGGGAAAACATAGACTCTGTTCAAATTTGAACCATGGTTGCTGATTCCATATTTTTGAACCAGTAACTATTACACAAAATTTTTTATTTTTTTAATTGATATTAATCCAAGCAAGGCAGTAAAGCCCCTAAGACACAAGGGGTTAAAGAGTGTGGAAGAATTAGGAACAAAAATATTAATAATGAGTAGGAAGAGGAAAGAGTAATCAGGAGGATAGTAGATAGTAATTGACATTGCGTTTAAATAAGTGTGAGAAAAGAAACTTATCATAGAATCTATGGCTACATCTAGTCAGCTCAACTGTAAATCAATGAGATTTCGATGCCAACCTAGTACAATGCTTAAATTAAAAAAATCTACACACCATAGTGAAGGGCTCATCTGAACAATTACCATGAAAGTATTTATAGAAAAGGCATAAAGAGATATTCTTATTATGGTGGGAATGTGACTGAAGTCAAGCTGCCAGAACAGGACTAATAATATTGCTGATTCTTCTTTGGATTTTATCAAGGAGGTCAAGATAAATAGCAAGGGTATCGAACCATATGTGGCAGCAATATTCTAAGCATAGATGAATGGTAGACTTATAGATATGTATATTTTGTTAAATATAGATTTAAAGAAAAAAGAGAAAGTTTAAGTAGGATAAGTTAGAGAATAAAACTAAGTTATTTTTTTTTATTACTTAGCAGGAATCTTAGAGAATTCCATAATGGTCAAATCACATTAAAAACACCAGGTATCATTGGATCACCAAAGCAGTATAGAGCATGGGGGCTGCTTTGAAACACTGGGTACTGTAAGCAACCTCCTACAATCTATATTATGTTCCAGCTTTAAACAGTACACAAAGGGTTGATAAGCCATAAAAAAAATTAATCAGTTAGAAGAGTCAATAAAAACCAATTTAGTAAATTATGCATAAGTTATAATATACAATTAAGTTATTTTCATTACTTGATAAGAACTTAGAGTAATCAATAAAAGATAATTTAGAAAATGAGTTGATCGGAGTCAATTTATAGTAGTCAAATGTTGAGATTACAATAAAGCTATTTTCATAAACATTACATTTAAGTATTTAGAGTTGATAAGAGTGAATTCAGTAAGTTTTATTAAGAGTTAATGTATAGTAGTCAGAAGTTAGAGAGTACAATTAAGTTATTTTTATAAATATTACTTACATTAATAAGAATGAGAAAAAATTTGAAACAAAGTTGTAAACAATGCTGTTTTGTTTTCTTTTGCATAGAATTATTTTGAAAAATTTTAATCCAACTTTATTCATTTAATGTGTAGATTTAGATAACTAAAATCTTTTATACAGTGTTTAGAATAACAAAAAAAAAGAAAGAAAGAAGCTTTTCTAATAAAAATGGTAAGTGGGAGAAGAGTAAAAAGGAACTGTCAGATCCAAAGGTCAGAGTCTTTGACTGCAAAGTTCATGTCTAATAAAACTCCAACCAAAATTCTGGGGGAAATGGAAGTACAGATTTTTGGAGAAATTCATTCTGAATATTTTATTGAGTTCTCTTCATTCAAAATTCCTCATGGTTTACTCGTTAAAACTGTATCACTAAGAGATAATTACAGCTGCAACACAGGTCAAAAATGAAAATTTTTGAAATTAAGTGTATTTAAAGAAATTGGTTATAACACTGAAGAATCCCACAGAGGAAGAATCTTTCATATTTAATATTACATTTTAACTCATTCCAATATTTCATCAATTAGGATCCATTATCCGATGTGAACCTTACATTGTCTGCAATATTTGAGAGAATGCCCAATACCTTTCCGTGGTTGTTGTTGTTTAAATACATCCAGTTTTGTAAGTAGTTACTTAAAAGAATTCAGAGGCATCAATTTAGTCAGTTTTTTTTTTGTTTTTTTTAAGTGATTTGGAGTCAAATGTTAGAGAATACAACTAGTTATTTTCAAAGAAATTATTCATATTAATAAGAATTTAGAGGAATCAATTTATTAATTTTCATTAAAGGTATTAGGACAAACTGTCTCAGTCATGATTTGAATCTGGATTGTAGAGTCCATTTTTAAAGGTGTTAGGTCACTTGCACATTCAAGATCAGAGGAAATAAAAATTCCTTTATATAGCTATTGTGCAGATACATTTATGATAAAGTCTCTTCCATTTCAAAATTGAAACATCTTACCCTGCTTTCAAGTTGGACTTTCTAACATAAAATAGTTTACCTCCATGAAAACCTATATATATATGTTCAATTTTATTAACTTTTTCAAATTTCCAAATTAGTTGTTTTAAACTGCGTCTAGAGATTATATGCA